ATTATTTATTTATGTATTTTTATTTATATATATACATCTATATTTTTCATTATTCATTTTCATTTGTCTGCTTAGGATTTTTTCTGTTGCGGCCAGTGGAAGGATACCATTTTCTCGTAGGGTATAAATATTTTTTAAATATTTTTTACAATATGTATTTATTTTTATAGCTGTTTCTCATACGATCGGATATTACTAAAGAGACAAATCCCTAAGGTGGACTTTCCGAGCCGGCAGAGCCACCCCTGGCGCATTCCCGAAGGAACTGGACGATTTCGGGGGCGCCCTCGCCTGTCTTCGCTTTCTCGAAGTCCCCCCCGAAGTAGGCCCTCACCTTGGCGGGGACGTCGGCCTCTTCTCTCCCTTTGACGGAGGCGCACATGCCCTCGAAGACGCCCAGCATCCAGCGAACGAGTTCCGTCGGCGTCCAGTGCGCTTCGTCCTTCCTCTTGACTTCCAGCTGCCTCAGGAAGGAGTTCTTGAAGGCGAATCCTGTGGCGAGCGGGATATGCCACGTCCTGAAGTCCCACCAGGTGTAGCGCCTCCTGACGTGGTGGGGCATCCACGGCTCGGCCTTCATGCGCGACAGGAGGGTCTTGCACGCGAGGTACACGAAGCGCTCATCCTCCTCCAGATCGCTGAGCACCGCGACCTCGGCCTCGCAGAAGCTCAGCCTCCACTCCCCGTCTGAGGTGTTGCTGAGGTAGACCAGATGGAGGTCGTCGGGCGTGAGGTAGGGCCTCCTGATGCGCGGGTGCCAGGGGGCGGACACGACGGGCACGAAGTCCACGTTCACCAGCAGGAGAGGGTAATGCGTCCCCTGCCACGCGAGGGCCATCGCCGAGCCCACCTGAGTCCTCCTCAGGCCGGGGGGCACGAGACTCAGCCTCTCGTCGTAGATACTATTTTTAGACAGGTATTTTTCTATCAGTTCATGAAAGGTGTCGATCAGCTTGCAGCCTTGGAAGCTGTCGTGGGGCGTCTGCACATTCAGCTTCAGTCTGTGACCTACTTGGGGCATCTCGCAGCACTGAGTTCAGAGACGCGGAGTTGGAAGTCCGAGAAACTGCTGAGCACAAGACTGATATCAAACTCGTCGGGAGCGTAGAGTCGGGTGCCGTCGGCCGAACTCCCGACCAGCCGAATTTCTCCCGCGAACAAGCCGTTTTGGCCGCGAATCTTGTCCGCTATCATTTCACACTCCTGTATTACAGCGTCTCGGATCTCCCTCGCTTCCCCGCTGTCGAAATCGACCGAAATATCCTTCATTTCGTCGACTACTTCGGAAAACCTGATACTTTTCAGAATTTTTCGCATAGCATTTACCCGGATCATTAGTTTCCCATTCATCATCTTGAGAATCGTCGGGGATATTGTCTTTTTTGTGCAGTTGTAGATAACGCTTAAAATTTTCGCAAATCTGGCTTGGCGTGGTTCCGGCCCGGCACCGCTCCTCGTGACGGGAAACGGATGCCATGTACTGAAAAGTGACGATGTGGCCAAACATGGCCGCGAGGTGGAGGGCCGTGTGGCCATAGCGATCGGTAAGGCGAGGGTTGGCACCGTGGTTCAGCAACAGGGCCACGATATTGGTATTCCGTGAGCAGCTGCCTGGTGGATGGCGGTGGATGAGGTGGGGGCATTCACCACCGCGTCGCTGGGGACCTTGCCCACGGCGAGGAGTAAGAAGGAGAGCTGAGGCAACCCTCGCTGAGACGCTAGAAGGAGTGCCTCAGGGCCCCGCGAGCCGAGGTCAGAGGGAGGGTACCTTGGGCATAAGCGGTGGTACAAGCTGGACTGGATTTTCAGGATTTCCTCCACCTGAATCTTGTCTCTATTGTCTTTCATCTTCTCGAGGCAAGCCTGTAGTTTGCGGACCTCCTGGTAAAACAGACACTGAAATAAGAAAATAACTGCCATTATACCGACTCCCTCTGAAGTTACACAATAAAGTATATATGAACTACACAAGAGTAACGACATAATGCTGCAGAAACACACATAGCATCTGTATTCCTCTTTTGGTCAGGCAGTTAGAAAAGTTAGAGGAATCACGTCTAAACACGAGGAAGTTCCTGGTCCACCATTTTTGTAGCTGTTTGCTATTTACGGACTTTGGTAGAAGAAAAGTAAGTTTTGGGTTAGACCGGATACGAAGACAATATCATATTCTCTCTCTCTCTCGCTCTCGCTCTCTCTCTCTTCTCTCGCTCTCTCTCTCTCTCCTCTCTCTCTCTCTCTCTTTCTTTCTCCCCCCTCTCTCTTCTCCCTTCTCACTCTCCCTCTCTATCCTATCCTCTCTCTCTCTCTCTCTTTCTCTTTCTCTTTCTCTCTCCCTCCTTCCCTCACTCTCTCTCTCTCTCTCTCTCTCTCTCGTCTCTCTCTCTCTCTCCTCTCTCTTCTGTCTCCTCTCTCTCACTCTCTCTCACATCTCTCTCTCTCTCTCTCTCTCTCTTCCTCCTCCTCCTCCTCTCTCTCCTCTTCTCTCTCCCTCTCACATCCTCTCTCTCTTTTCCTCTCTCTCTCCTCATCCTCTCTCTCTCTTCATCCTCTCTCTCTCCTCATCCTCTCTATCTCTCCTCTCTCTCTCTCTCGTGTTCTTCGCGCCTCTCTTCTCTCTCTCTCTCCTCTTCTCTCTCTCTCTCATCTCTCTCTCTCTCTCTCTCATCCTCCCTCTCTCTCTCTCATCCTCCCTCTCTCTCTCTCATCCTCCCTCTCTCTCTCTCATCCTCCCTCTCTCTCTCTCATCCTCCCTCTCTCTCTCTCTATCTCTATCTCTCCTCCTCTCTCTCTCTCAAAGTTGTGTTAATGTTAATATTTCTAGGAAAGGGGGTCCATAGCTTTCATCAGATTCTGGAAGTGGTCCGTGATTCTAAGAAATCTAAGATACATTGCTTTAGAGGCCGTCGATGGAAAAGTCTACGGAGTTACAACCCACCTGTTCGAGTTCCTGCATCGCGCGCGGCTGCATCACCTCTTTCATGTACTCGAGGTCTCGCACGTAAGGAGAGCTCCCGAGGTGCTTCACGAGCGTGGTGGCCAACTTCAAGTGTCCTGCCTGCAGTGCAACGTGCAACGGCGTCAATCCTCGGCTGTCACACTGGAAGGCCAGCGCCCCTTCAGTCTGCAAGAAGGTCATCGTCAGGACACAGTTATGCCTTGCAGCGGAGGTCATGAGGTCAGCCAGGGAAGGGGTCGAGGGGGCGTGGGAGATTTTCCAACTGGCTTGCCACGGCTTGCACAGGGTAAGGGTGTTCAGTATGTGGTTGATGCCCTGGCGGAGAAGACCTACGCCTTCGTCAGGTTCCGGGGAGTTCTGGAGAAGGCGTAGTTCGAACTTCAGCTGGGTCTGGTAGGCCTGGAAAGAGCAGGTCATGAATCGCATGAGAGAGAGAGTGGTATTGATAGGACTTTATGCTGTATTCTCGTATATTAGTTATCATATCATATATACACAAGAATCCGTATGACGCGTATGATTGAGAACCATAGACATTTATATATATGTGTGTGTGTATGTGTGCGTGTGCATATATATATATATATATATATATATATATATATATATAGAGAGAGAGAGAGAGAGAGAGAGAGAGAGAGAGAGAGAGAGAGAGAGAGAGAGAGAGAAATACAGGCAGATGCGTACGCGCGCGCGCGTGTGTGTGTGTGTACAGCAATACATATTCCTTCTGCAGTATGTCCTCACCCTTGTAACCACGACCTTCAGGAGGACCATGGCGTCGCTGCTCCTCCAGACGACCTGCAAGGGCGAGGTGCCCTCACGAGGAGCAGTGAGGCTCGCCCCCGCTGCCAAGAGGAGGCTGACGATGTTCGTCCTGTCGAGCGAGATGGCCAGGTGGAGGGCGTGGTAGGGGACCTCGCCCACGGGCTCTATGGGCGCCCCGCGGAGCAACATCTTCGTGACTTCCTTGGCGTCGTTGTTTGTAGAGATGTGGTTTATGAGTTCTTTGTAGAGCTGGCATTTCTCTTCGTAGGTTGAAACTCGGCCGTCCTGGAAATTGGCATGCGGTTTCATTAAAAGTCCTCTGTGTCTTTTAGAGGTATGGAGGAGGAGAGCATTCGTATTTTTCGTTTGAATTTATTCCGGTCAGCGAGAGCCACATGCACATCTGTGAATAAGAACATCGATAAAAAAGGAAAAAAATACCCATGAAACAAGGATCAGTACGCCATGAAAGGGCACGAGACAACCCAGCGTCAGCGCGTCAATGCGGTCACCTCAGAGTTCAAGGCTGAGGCCAGGAGTTCGCGGAGTCTGTCCGATCGAGCCAAGTCGTGCGGCATCTTGCCCTCGTAGTCCAGGACGCCCGGAAACATCCCGCAGGAGAGGAGGACCCGGACGGCTTCCTCGTTGTCACATTCGGCAGCCACGTGAAGGGGCGTCCGGCCGTTATGGTCGCGGAAATGCAGGCCGACCAGGTCCTTCTCCAGATTGCTGAGCAGGTGGTCCGTCTTGTCGTCCTCTGCCCACCCCATGATCAGCGCGCCGCACTCGTTGTAGTGGACCATGCAAGTTCTCTGCAACGCATGCAATCTTTACGAAGGCGTCAGGAAAATCTGATAGTTTGTACAAAAGTGTGTTTCTTCCCCTATTTATATATATACATACATACCAATATATATTAAATGTAAGCTTGTATGTATGTGTAAGAATAAGGGAGAGAAAGAGAGAAAGTAACCCATTTATTGGCCTAGTTTAAACAGATCGTTCCAAATGTGACCCATTCATTGGCTTAGTTATGCCCAAATGTTCCACAAGATCTCTCACTCCGACAGCGCCTCCAAACTTACCGCGTGGCTGAGCTCCGTCGTTTTGCCCGGGTTCTGTTTCCTGAGCCAGTCGACCACCTCCGACCGCCCGTGGATCATAGCCAGGTCGAGGGGCGTGAGACCATTTTGATCCTGACAGGCGACCGGCAGCCCAGCGCGCACCAGCATCTGGGTCACGCTCAGACTGCCGGACTGAGCGGCCTGATGGAGCGCCGTCTCTCTCTCTCTCTCTCTCTCTCTTTCACACACACACACACAATCCTATATCCTTGCCTATACAACGTTCACATTCCACGGATCAAACCAGCCCCTGCTGCCAATGATGCACACTCACTGCATTCATCCTGGTCGCTGATACCGAAGGCTTTTATAAGCTGCAAGAGCTCTTTCATTGCCCCTTTCTTGGCCGCCCAGTGCTCGGCGTGAACTGCCTCCTTCCGGCTGAGTTGGTGGCGCCGGCACCCAGCAGGAGGGGCACCAGGTGGTAATGACCTCGAATGAACACTAAGGTCAAGAGCGACCCCTGGGGGCAATCGGGGTCATTTTGGGGGAGCTCAGTGTCGGGGCTCAGGCCTTCGGTGGACAGGAGGCTCTCGGTGGTGCGCGCGTCTCCTCTCCTGACGGCGCTGATCAGTTGCTGCAACAGGAGGATATGCACATGCATATATAATATATATATATAGATATATAATATATATATATATAATATATATATATATATAATATAGATTCATTTATTTGTTTATATATATATATATATATATATATATATATATATATATATATATATTATATATATATATATATATATATATATATATATTCATTTATTTGTTTATATATATATATATATTTATATATTTATATATATATATATAAATAAATAGATAAATATATATATATATATATATATATATTCATTTATTTGTTTATATATATATATATATATATATATATATATATATATATATATATATATATATATATATATATATATATATATATATATTCATTTATTTGTTTTTATTTATGTATATATATATATATATATATATATGATATATATCTATATATATATATATATATATATATATATATATATAAATATATAGATATACATAATATATATATATATATATATATATATATATATATAGATATATATATATATATATATATATAAATATATAGATATACATAATATATATATATATATATATATATATATATATATATATATATATATATAATATATATATATATATATATATATATAGATATACATAATATATATATATATATATATATATATATATAATATATATATATATATATATATATATATAAATATATAGATATACATAATATATATATATATATATATATATATATAATATATATATATATATATATATATATAATATATAGATATACATAATATATAGATATACATAATATATAGATATACATAATATATAGATATACATAATATATAGATATATATATATAGATATATATATATATATATATATATATATTTATAAATATATATTTATATATATTTTTTTTTTTCAACAGCCATTCATTCCACTGCAGGACATAGGCCTCTCTCAATTCAGTATTGAGAGGTTATATGGCGGTGTCACCCTTGCCTGATTGAATGCCCTTCCTAATCAACCGCGGTTCAGCGCGTTTAACACTTGTGCCACGGCGGTGACTTCCCCTACGACACCTGTATTTTGACTTCTCAAGCCGATATGTCGTTTTCTCGGGCTTGAGCAGTCAGAGCGCAGGCATTCTGCCACGACGGGGAATTGAACCTGAGTCCAGTGCTCTAACCACTGAGCTATCGCGGCAGTATATTTATATATATATATATATATATATATATATATATATATATATGGGGGGGCAGGCCTTGCCAGTCTGCCCCTCCGAGACAACTCTACTGGCAACGAATCGTATAGAAGTTAGTGCTGGGGGGAGGGCTAAAGCCCCTCCCACACAGCAAGAACGGCGGGCTGTGGGTCCCTCTGGGTTGGCGACCGCTGGGACTCGGGCGGGGAGGAGGGGTTACCCATCATCCCATTTGGGTCCCACGGCCGCCAGCCTGGCGTGATGCTTGTGGGGGAAAGCCCCCGGGAGCCCTGGAGGTGGATTAGGGGGCCTGCAGCCAGCCAACCTCTATAAGGGGCGGCATCGGTGGGGGTGGCAGAGGTGGCGCCCACCCGGAGTGACTGCCAGAGGTTAGACCTCAGGCGGGCTGTCAGGGTGGGGGCTTGGAACGTCCGTTCCCTGCAACAGGATGATCGGTTACCACTACTGTCGAGGGAATTGAAGCGGCTTAGAGTTGAAGTGGTTGCTCTCTCAGAGGTGAGAAGACCTGGCAGCGGCACAATTAGTGTGGGTGGCTACACTTACTACTGGTCGGGCCGCAGCGATGGCCACCATCTCCAGGGAGTAGCCATAGCCATCTCCAGCCGATTTCAACCCTCGGTAGTAGAGGGCACTCCAGTCGATGAGCGTACAATGGTATTGAGACTGAAGCTGTCATTTGGCTTCATGTCTCTTATTGCTGTGTACACTCCTACGGATGTATATAAACTTGAGGTGAAAGAGATGTTCTACGCCAGACTTGCATCTGTGGCAGACAGTTGTCCTCGGCGAGATATTCGTATTGTTCTGGGTGACTTCAATGCGGTATCCGGATGTGATCGACCTGGCTACGAGATGTCTGTCGGTCCCCATGGCTCAGGAGCTGATTCTAGCAGCGAGAATAGCCTCCTTTTCCGTGACTTTGCTAGGTCCCAGAAATTGAGGATCTCTGGCTCCTGGTATCAGCATTTTGACCTGCATCGCTGGACTTGGTACAATGATACGGGTAGGGTGGCCAAGGAGATCGACCACATCCTCGTCAGCACTCGGTGGAGGATCCTCCAGAACTGCAGGGTGTATCGAAGCGCCGAGTTCTGTGGAACTGATCATAGACTAGTTGTGGCTACTCTCCAGGTCCACTTTAGAACCCCAGGGTGTTTCATCTGGACAGACTGAGGGAGGATGAGTGTGTCCAGGGTTTGCTGAGGCTATCTCTGGTCGTCTCACAGCACTCGAGGGCCTGACAGACCCTGTTGTTATGTGGGATTCCTTCAAGCGTGAAACGCTTGATGCAGCTCAGGAATCCATTGGTGTACGCCCAAGAGCAAGACAGAATTCCATCTCGCAGGAGACACTGGAAGCCACAGAAGCTTGTTGTGCAGCTCGATTGTCAGGGGATCGCAATTTGCACCGTTCTCTGGCGCGCAGGACTAGGTCACTGTTTAGAAGGGATAAGGAACAGTTTATCAGTAATCTTGCAGAGGAGGTCGAAAGCCATTTCCTAGTAAATGACATTCGTCCTGCCTACCAAGCTCTGAGAAAGCTGAACTCCCAGCCCTCCTCACAGACGACGGCAGTCCGCTCAGCAAGTGGCCAGGTAATCTCAGATCCTGATGGGGTGCGTGTGCATTGGGCTGAGTATTTTGAGCAGCTGTATCAGGTTGATCCACCAACAGTTAACTTGAATGCTGGTAATGTTGAGACTCCTCTGCCAGACCCACCCATCAGCGAGGATCCACCCTCCCTGACTGAAGTCAAGGGGGCGATCTCCAAGCTGAAGAGTGGTAAAGCAGCAGGTGTCTGTGGCATCCCAGCTGAATTGTTAAAGGCTGGTGGAGAACGTATGGCAAGGGGCTTGCATGCAGTCCTATCTGCCAGCTGGCAGACCGGTACCATTCCCCCTGACCTGCTGAGGGGTGTAGTCATCCCTCTCTGGAAGGGGAAAGGGGATCAGTGGGACTGCAGCAATCACCGAGGCATTACACTGCTCAGTGTACCAGGCAAGGTACTCGCCCACATCTTACTGAGACGTATCAGAGACCACCTCCTGAGGCACCAAAGACCGGAGCAACCTGAGTTCACTTCTGGTAAGTCCACAATAGACCGTATCCTGGTGCTTCGAGTCATTGTAGAGCGTCGTCGTGAGTTCGGACGTGGGCTGCTCGCAGCCTACATCGACCTCAAGAAGGCGTTTGATATGGTGCATCGCGAATCAGTCTGGGAGATCCTGAGACTGAGAGGAATTCCAACAAGGATTGTTGGGCTAATAGCAAACCTGTATACAGGCATTGAAAGTGCTGTAAAGTGTGGTGGGGGCCTGTCGAGCTTCTTTCCTGTTAGTTTCAGGGCGTGAGGCAAGGCTGTGTTCTTGCACCAACACTTTTCAACACTTGCATGGATTGGATACTGGGTAGAGCTACTGTCCAAAGTCACTGTGAAGCAACTCTGAAATCTCTCGACAAGAGTATTTGGAGATGCCGGTGCCTGTGCAGAAGGACCAAGCTACGAGTTTTCAAGGCCCTGATACTGCCAGTTTTACTATATGGTAGTGAAACTTGGACGCTATCTTCTGCTTTGGAATCTCGTCTTGATGCCTTTTGTAACAGATCCTTGCGCTGGATCATGGGTACAGTTGGCGGGACCATGTGTCCAACCAACAGCTACACCGTGAGACCGGTAAAGGACCTGTTACTTGCACAATCCGTGATCGCCAACTCAGGCTATATGGCCACTTGGCTCGATTCCCGCAGGATGATCCTGCCCATCAGGTTACCTCTGTTCGAGACAACCCTGGTGGAGGAGGCCTGTGGGACAACCGAGAAGGTCGTGGCTTGGGCAGATCGATCAACCTGTCGGGAGGAACTAGAGATGGCCTCGCAGGTGGAAGCGAAGGTGGACGCGGCTATGCGCCCCTACCGGCGTTAGCTCCCCATGATGATGATGATATATATATAGATATATATATATATACATATATATATATATATATATATATATATATATATATATATATATATATATATACATATATATATGTATAGAATATGTATGTATATATATATATATATATATATATATATATTATATATATATATGTATATATATATATATATATATATATATATATAGATAGTATATATATATATATATATATATTATATATATATATATATATTTATATATATATATATATATATATATAATATATATATATATATATTATATATGTATATATTATATGTGTGTGTGTATGTATATATATATCATATATATATATATATATATATATATAATATATATATATATATATCTATATGTATGTATTTATATATAT